TTTCGACCTTGTTTCACCCGGTGGAGGAAGACCTCAGGTGCCCGTCCGTGCATTATTTCAGGCACGAACGGGTACCTGAGTAGAATCACCGACATTTCGTAAGCTAACTGGATAGCTTCCTCACATGAAAGAATTCAAATTCCCAGTCGGGATTCGAAACCACAGTGGTGAGAGGCAAGTGGTTTGAAGTCAACGATCTTAACTACTCGGCCTCGGACGCCTCATGTGACGAAATATTTTTGACCTTGTTTATTGCGCAAGTGCAATGTGTCTTATATTACCGTAAAAGTGAGCTTAAAAACTATTTCATGGGCGGAGTAAATAATATCAGCCAAAATTGTTACATGCCAGTTGGGTCTTAATATGTGTGTGTATTATGTGAGTTTATATAATTTCCAGAGCTTATGGCATTTGAGAATTTTGCTCAAACAGTTTCGACATTGTTTCTTTAAAGAGCGCCATGAAATCTAAATTTGCCGTATAGAAGAGCCTGCATTGTGTACTTTTACTAAACGTTTTTATTGTGTTTAACTCTCAAATGAAATCATCCTCCTCGCTAAAGTGCATATGCCATGCAAACATTTTAAGTAATGTACCGTATCTTTGGCAAAGGTCACGTGAACCATTATTGCTGTAGACTCCAATCCATTGACAGGATGCTTATTCTCGAAGGGTATGGGAGAACACACGCTGCATTAGTCAAAGTCCGTAGCCAGGCGAACATCTCGAATCAAATTTAAAGCAAGCAGCAAGTTGATATTGCAGTGTTAATGAATCTCTAAGGTTAGATACGAAACTAAATCAGAACAAACATTGCGTCACGTTAGGCACTCGAAATTAGATTTTTAAAACAACTATGTAGGTTTTCTGTATTTTTATGCTCCCCGAAGGATGAGCATAAAGTCGCCGCTTCGTCCGGTTGTCCGTCCGTCCGTCCGCTTTTCTTGTCCGGAATAACAAGAGGTATTATCATGAAACTTTGTAGGTAGATAGAGCTTTACCATATTTTAAAGTTAAAATTGAGTCTCATAGCTATTGCACCTGTTCATATGGGAAAAACAATTATTTATATATAATTCACCGTAGACTCCTGAAATAGTGGTTTTCTCAACTTTCACTGTATTTCGTGTGTAAACAAAGTCGTCGAAGAGAATACTTCCTTGCAGCAATGTTTTCATACATTGTTGTTTATAATCTTTCTTATTCTTTTCTTTTTTTTTTTTTTTTTTTTGTTTTGTTTAATAAAGCAGAAAATGAAGGGCATTTGAGAGTCGCAAATTTATATGTTAAGATACAAGAAAGACCTTTACAATTAACAATAGTAGTAAACGGGCCATATGGTGTTTTCACACGACACAGTGTCACTTTAATTTTCATTTCAAATCTTAAACACGAGTATTAGCAATACAGACCACGTAAATAAAATCATATTTTCGACCAGATGAATTCTAATATCAAATCGTATGTGTACCTAATCCTGTTAGGAATACAAACTACATGCTGTTTTTTATTAGGTAAGTTTAATTATTATTATTTTATTGTTATAAGAATGTTTTAGTTCATTTAAGGTAATTGAAAGTAAATAATATTTTTCTATATTGGAATTTACGTATTTTTCTGTCTCATATGTTCGAATGATTTATTAAGATTTATTTGTTTTTTCTTAATGAGAGTAACAGGAATTATATTTCAATTACTAATAAGTTTCAAAAGAACTTTTCTGTCCGACTTTTTCGTAATATAACATATAATATAAATGATATGACTAGAGCGTTATCCGAGCAACCCAGAAAGATTAAAAAACAGTATTCAACAAAAGGCACTGTTGAGTTTAAACCAATCTTCCCACCCTTGTGCACGTCTAATGCACTAAATCTAAACTAGAAACATGCACACCAAGTGTACATCCTGTGCCCAAGATCTAAACGAAAAGTGCACATCATGTGTACTTCTATTGCACTAAAACTAAACTAGAAGTATTTAAGCTTTTCATAATGTTACCGGAAGGTTCTTTTTCACAAACTATTCGGTTTATACACGCAATTATGTATTTTGTTTTCTTAATTTACTATCATCAGAATCCCCTGCAGTTTGTACCACGGTGACAGTACTAAACAGCTCACCACAAAGTACGAATACGAGTGGCGGCGTGGCCGAGTGGTTCACAATCGAACTAGCAATCTAAAAATTGCTGGCTGAGTTGGTTCGAACCACGTCAGAGGCAGGTTTGTTTCCCTGGGTCAGAAACTGTACATTCTCAGCTTAGTACTGATCGATTGCAGGAACGGATTGAAGACTGTTTTAATAAGTTTCAAACACAATCGAACTAAAATTAGATTGATAAACTAAAATAAAATAAGGAGTATAAATTCATAAACACACTCACCAACTAGCGTTTCTACATAAAATTCATATAAACTCGATCAAAAGAATACAAATAGAATAAGCCCACTGACAGCACCAAAAAAGCAACTGGTCGTTTTTACATAAAATCCAAATTGATTTGGTATCGTAGTTAAATATACAACTGTAGGAATAAGAATAACAACCCATGTTATTAATATCTATTCTCATACAGATGGTCAGAGTCCATCAACAGTAAACATGACATCAGCAGCAACAACCGCAAACACAGCAGCTACAACAACTCAAAAACTGCCATATACAGCTCCGCCAGTACCAGGTCTGTACTTTAAAAAAATACCCTGCTTTATACCACTTTCGAAGGTATACGATAAATTTGCTCTATCGCTACTTCCGAGCTAGTGCATGTCGCTCAAATCAAGTGTCAAGTTTTTTCATTTTTTATATATTTGGTGAACTCTACATCAAATATCGAAATTCGATGAATGCCGAAATTCGATGAATGCTATACCATGTAAATTTGACTAAAGTTTCCAGGTAACATAAAGTCGTTATAATTGTATTTGAAATATAGTTGTGGCAGCGTTTCCCAGTAAGCAAATTCAGCGTTGAAATGGATCGTTTTTTTTTTTTCATGAAACAGATTATTTTTCCTCAAATTTTCATCTAAATTTTCATATAAAAAACGAATACGTTTCAAGTAGATATAAGGTTTTGAAATGAAATAAGATTAAAATCAGCTCAAATTATTAGTTAATAAAAAAATTATAGGATATTTATAGGATATTTATTCTGTCAGACAGCGCTGTCGTGAAGGAGGTAGTCATGTCGCCAAGGAGATAGCTCTATGGTTTCAAAGTTGACCAAAACTGAAAGGGCAAAGAATGTAAAATGTTTGCGGTGAAAACGATCTGTAGTATGCCTAAGAGTTTGAAGAGTCACATAATAACCGTTCAAATGGGAACTATGAATGTGACAGTTGTGACAAGGAATATTTATTGAGCTTTTGGTGTACTTTTTTTTCTTGTTCTCTATTCAAAATGCCCAGTGAGTTGACATTTTAACTAACCTACAAGTATCTACATTGTTTCCAGCCTGCGAGAAAGCTACGGTTCTTTTTTATCTTTAAAACACCTTGAATATCCAGTAACGCAGTGTGGCGCAAAAACTTAAGGCCTAGTGAAATGTAACGCAGAATTGTGCAATTCTGCGGCCAAAAAGGGAAAAGCACTAATATCTTTATTGCACATCAAATTGAAAGAAGTGAATTAAAACATACGGTTGCTGAGACATTATTCTTTAAACATCAGCAAAAATATTTCCATGATAATGTTTATTTTTAAAGATCATTTGTGAAAATTTCGATCTGAATTTTGAGTCTTGTCGTATCTTTCAATACAATATCGTATATATTATACTATGGATTTTGATTTCCGGTGTACCCGACACATCAGCAAAACTACTCGTCTCTTGGTATACACAATGTAAAGGCAGTCATCTGAAACAGACAAATATTTATGTTTTGTAAGTTTTGTACAAAAAGTTTAAGTCTTAACATGTATTTTTAAGTTAAGTTCTTAATGCAACGTGGCAAAAGTGGTTAGATATGTATGAATTAAAAGGATACTGAAACAGCACCAATTCAATTCAATACTACACGAATATAGATAATATAATATGCTGTTTAACACAAGGCTGTGTACAGTAAAAAAAACCAATTGAGTCCGCTGTAAATATTAATGCTTTATTATGCAAATTACGTCATGATAAACATGCATAATAGTTACATTAGTATAACATTTCTTTTATTTTTTGTGCATGAATGTTATGAATAAAATATACACAATCAATCAGATACTTTGTACGTAACTATAGAGCTGTCGACATGACTACCTCCTTCACGACAGAGCTGTCTCAGAGAACAAATATTCTGTATTTTCTTTATAAACTAATAATTTGATCAGATTTCAATTTTATTTCATTTCTAGTCATTATATCTACTTGATTCGTATTCGTTTTTAATCTGTATCGCTGTTTATATGAAAATTTGAGGAAAAATAATCTGTTTCACGATGAAACGGTCCATTTCAAAGCTAGATTCGCTAACTTGGAAACGCCGCCACATTTTCATTTTAAACACAATTATAAAAACTTTACGTGTTCATGAAACTTTAATCATATCTACATGGCATAGCATTCTCCGATTTCGATATCTGGTAGAGAGTTTACAAATAATTTTTATACAAAAAATGAAACATTTGACACTTGATTTTAGCGACATGCACTAGCTCGGAGGTTGCGATAGAGCAATTTACCACATACCTCCGAAAGAGGTAGCTCTATCATTTACCAGGCGTGATATAACACCACTCTTTTTTGTAATTTATATTCAGGAGTCCATGCACTTAAGCTTTTAAGTTTAAGTCTTAATTTGGAAAGGAGAACAGGGAAATTTTAAATTACAGTTAGCCTCAGAGAGAAGTCCACATAATTTTCTGGGTTTTTTTATCTGCTTGATTATTTGTCGTGTATTGTTAGTGATGTTTTTTTTATTTTTTTGTTTGATTGCTTGTTTGTTTTTTTCATTTTTTTTTAAATTTTTTTATTTTCACTTATTTTTTTATATTTTTTCTTAGTTACTTGTAATGTTTGTGCTGGTCCCGAGTTCCTGTGTGAAAAATTGTTTGCACCACAAACGTGTAATCCACCTAACAATTACTGCATTAACACACTTCATAACGAAAAAGATGGATCACGGATTGTAACAAGACAGTACGTATAATGTGCATTGGCATTTTAAATGAAATCTAATAAAATTTATTTCACACCTAGTAAAATGGATCCATTAAAATCCAGCATTTGCACAACATGGTGTTCAAATGAAGCAATTTAGCCTTGTCTTCATTTACGAAACCAAATCCAAACTGTAATCAATCTAGTCTCGTGTTTCCCTTATCAAAAGCAATACTGTTCTCTGTCCAGCCACTTCGTTTTCATTTTTCAATTCCAAATGAATAGGATTCAAATCTCTAATTTACGAAAGTTCTGACAAAATGTTATAACAAACTGTGGTGTGAATTAAATAAATCTTTATGCATTGTTAAATACAATACTGATATACTCTTGGCTTGCACTGCTGCTAAACCAAGATTAAACTCGGCTTCCAGCTTGTCCATAAGAGGTTTGAAAGCTGTGAATTCGTCCAGAAGAAAGAAATATTGTACTCAGTTACCTTACTATATCAATATTATATAATTATATTATTATTGACAAAAATAGTTTTAAATAAAAAGTTATTTTAACTCAAAAATGTAGATTTGAAATAAAAGTATTGTATTGGCATAGATATAATATAGTAAATCAAAATGCACTCTCATATAGTAGAATCACTGACATGTTAAATAACGAATGTATAATTATTAAACTTCAAAAGCCCACTTAAATATCCTGTAACACTTTTTTTATGGTTTTGAATCATCAATATGATGCTCAAGTTAAGATTTATCAATTTTGTAAATTCCAAAAAGCATTATTGATAAAGATATTATGGAATTTATCATTTCATGTAAATAAAAGGAGGTAATAATTCATTATCTTTAAAGTCTAAGTAAAATTTTTCAATAAGAAATGAATGCATATATTTTGATGATTACATATAATATTTACAAATATTTAAATTACATATTTCACATATTCTTCGATTTTTGAAAATTGTTTTCTTACTAAGCATAATTATATACATATATTTTACCTCATTTGCATATGCCCTTCTATATTTAGTATGACGTCATCCGGTCCATAAACCCCATACAGACAGGGGGCGGTCCATAATTCTTATATGGACTGGATGACATGATACTAAATATAGAAGGGCGTATGCAAATGAGGTATAATATTTTATTTTGTTGTTAAATGATTCTTTTTACTGAATTTATTGTTTTGTTTCACATAAATGTATTACATGTTGATCAAACGTCATATTATGTCTTTAAATTGCTTATAAATTTTTAATTTTATTGATACAGTTTGTGAAAATCTTAAAGTTAGTTTGTTTGTTTTTTTCCTGTTTAATGTGATTAACAAAAATTGAATGACAAAAGAAGAGCATGATTTTTTGCTGTATCGCTTGAAAATAATTTTAATAAATCCGACTAGGGTTTGAGATATTTCACACACTGAACAAATGAATTATTATTTGACAGCAAATTATAGTAAAAATGACAGCAACAAAAGGGATGAAAGGATTTAGATTCGGTTTAATATAACAAATAAAACATGGCCTTTCGGGCAAAATGCAGGTTTACGGACTGGTTGGCCAGACCTCGGAAGTTATATGTCCCTCAGCTGCGCTTCGGACCATATACATTCCTCAGTCTGACCAATCAGTCCGGAAACTTGCATATTGCCCTCAAGGCCATGTTTTATTTCTTAAATATATATATTTTTCACTGAAGTGTGGTATTCAACCTCAATTACTACATGCAGGATCTTTAAGTGAATTGGTTTATAATGGAAGGTCTATGATACAATAAATAATTATATTAATAGTATTTGGTATCAGCAAAGAGAAATCACGAAATATATATATTAAATGTTGTAGGCAACGGTGCGATACATGATCCTATATTTCATATATTTAAGTAGCAAATAATAAGTTGTTCCAGAACAGAATATGTTTATTCATCGTATTTAAGTACTCTTACTAACTCATTTAGTACTTTGGTACCAACAATTTTTCAAAAAATATTTAATAAACAAATCCATATAATGTAATCCATGGTATACGTCAATATTTGAAATGCTGGTGAAAAATGAGTTCATTGTAGACCTTATATATTTCAAAGGCACATAAGGCCTCAGACACGAAAAAAATCTTCAGAAAGAGCAAAGAGTTTTATGACGTTGAAATTACTGTTTAAAGAGCATGTTAGATGCTTTTTACCTAGAGTATGCAGCAATAAATGTAAACATATGTATCATAAAAGTAGTAAAATTTAACCAAAGTAGTTCATGTTGTTGTATTTTGACATCCACACAAAAAACTAAATCATTATAATTGTACCAACTGCCAAGAAGGAACAGGAGTAAATTTTGGTAACTTTAACTAAAATCTAAAAAAAATGAAAAATAAGAATAAAACATTTTTGTAGTATATCGGATCTTAAAGCCTGAAAATGCTATTATTTTAATTTCTAAAAAAGGTTTTCATTTCACGTGTCATATTACAATTTTTGAACAACTCCTCCTTCACCATACAGCTGAAACACCATTAACTCCTTTTGATTTTTTGGCAATTAATACAGTTATACTCACTTAGTATTTTGTATGGAAGTCAAAATACCACTTAATTTTCGTTTTGCTACCTTAATGGCACATTTGTCCACACTCAGTACTACATGTTTCCGGTGATAAGCTTTAAAGGGAGACACAAGCAAAATTTTCATTTCTTAGTTTTGAATTTTTCATTTAATATTCTGTAAATGCCCTCAAAATAAATATACTAGACAGTCAAAGGGACAAACTGTTCATCATATAAAGAATAAAATGATGGTTTCCTAACTTGACCCGCGTGGGTCAGGTTGGAACGCTAACATTTCACAATAGTGGTCAAAGTGAACTCTGGAAACGTTAAAGAACATGTTAAATGTATGACTTAGACTTGTTTCAATCATACAATATCCACAATATCTGTTATTGTAACTTCAAGGGTTTGTTCAAGTCACTTGACTTGTATTAAAACTATTTGGTGATTCTATTTGCGTCTAAATTTTGTTCAACATATATAGATATATTTACGCTTCAAACCCAAAATATATAGAATTTAAACAGAAATTCATGCTGAACCTTCAAGAAAAGTCATTTTAGCGTGATTTGAGTACATAGATCATTTTAATATTTTTGTCATTATTTTGCCTGAATATCCCTTTAAACATGTTTAATACTTATCACCGGAAATATGTAGAACTGTATGAACGGGAACCTGAGTAGACCATCGACGTTCCGTAAGTTATCTGGATAGCTTCCTCACATGAAGGAATCGAATGTCCCTGTCGAAATTCGTACCCACAGCGGTGAGTCAAGTGGTTTGAAGTCAAAAACCTTTACCACCCGGCCAAGGACGCCCCTCCAAGGCCATATAACAAAGCCAATAATTGTTATTAATAATCACCATTATTTGAATATCAATCATGTCTGCATTAGAGACTCAGCAATGACGATCACTTGTTTTAAATATGTTTTTAATATGCATTTCAGCTGCGGCAACTTTGACACCTGCTACCGTGAGTGGTTCTTAGGAAGCTCTGACAGCGACAAATGCCGTAATTTTGATGACAACAGCATGATTCCCTTGGACTTTGATTGTACATTTTGCTGCACTACAGACAACTGCAATAAACCGATTAAACCGTTGGACAAAGACCTATACAAGGGTATATAATAAATATACAAAGATGGACCGATTACTTCTTGTTGACAAACTATTACGTTTATACACACAATGATGTATGTTGTTTTCTTAATATATTATCATCAGAATCTCCTGTACTTGGGAACATGATGGTAGTATTAAACAGCTCACCACAAACACTGCGAAAAAGACATGGATATACGGAAGTGTACGGAATTCCGTATATCATTAATATACGTGTAAGAATACGGGAAACTTGAAATACGGAGATGTACGGGACCGTATATTATATCAGTCCGTATATGACTCATATACGAACTCCGTACACTCGTAATATACGGGAACTTTGATGTACGAAGTCCGTATTTTACTAATATACGGAATTTTTATAACAAGTCCGTATATTACTAAAATACGAAATTCCGTATTCGTGCAAATACGGATTCTGTATATAGAAATAGCGAATGAAAATTTACTTCTGAATAGCCTATTTCCTGTAAGAGTAAAGAAATAGTCTGATCATATATTTGTCAGACATTTGACAATTAACACAATGCAAAATTTCCTGGAGTTATTAACGCGTCAATTGCGTACAAATAATATCGTCAGTGCACAGAACGTGTAAGACATCCACCTCTAATATGAAGACGCGGTATTCTAGCTCAATACCGCTTGGTTTTCTTTTTAGCATACACCCGCAGATAAATAGCGAATACTTTACAATTGCGATTCACGATTAGATAGTACTGTTTTGCATTTTGCATCTATGGTGAATCATGTTATTTTGTAATTTCCTTTTCATTATCATTATAATATTTTATAATGATAAGCCAAACATGAGAAAATGATAAAGTTGAAATTGTGATGTTCAAAACATGAATTAATTATAATAAAATCGTGGATCTGTGAAGTTGAAATCGTGAAAGTTAAAATAATTGTAGGATCACGAAGATGAAATCGGGATTGTCCACACAGCAATTAAATTTTACGTTGATATATGTCCTATAAAAATAGGCTATACATAATCTAATACATGTACTTGCATATGTAAAAAAAACAACAATGATATCTCATTCATTCATTCATTCATTAATTCATTCATCCATTCATTCATTCATTTATTCATTCATTCATTCATTCTTTCTTTCTTTCATTCATTCAGTCATTCATTCATTGAATCAATCAACCAATCAATCATTCATTTATTTATTTATTTATTTATTCATTCATTCATTCATTCATTCATTCATTCATTCATTCATTCATTCATTCATTCATTCATACATACATACATACATACATACATACATACATACATACATACATACTACATACATTCATTTATTCATATATTTATTTATTTAGTTATTTATTTATTTATTTAATCTTTTATTTCAGGAAACAAAGATTTGCGTTTCTGTACACAAGTTTTGAATAGAAATCTTATGAAGTTCCGAATTCCCCAATTTTGATTTCTTTTCGCGCGGTCTCATTTATGACATAATATTGTGTAATAGCCACGTGCTGTATTGTCATAATCGAATACAATACGGATTAAGCCGGATATTGATCCGGATATTGATCATAAACGCAGCAGGGTATATCGAGTGTCGGTTTTCTCCGATTAGGTAAGTTAGCGCAATTGGTGTTGAATGTCTTAACGGTATTTTTTACTGTCAATTTCTAATATAATTCATGTACGAAATAAGGGAATTACATTGTAATCCTATGTGATTTTGTTCTAGATATTATAAAGACTCTAACCCGACATATTAAAATGAAACAGACATAGCTGCTGTATTCTTTCCAATGCTTTTGCAGCGTCGTGTTGTTGTTATCCTTTAATTTGGCGGAATTCGTCATTTAAACAAGACACAATTAAGTTTTATCTTAAAGTAAACTTTGAAGTACCCTGCCGCCAGGTCCAATTATATCTAAGTTCACAAGCTAGAATCAGATGGATGTCACTGGGGTGTATGTACATGTATTGTTGATAGATGATGTCAAAATATCATCATCATCATCTTCCGAGTTTCCTCGTCTCCCATCAGTCGTGTTTCTGCATAATTCGGTGACTTGAACATACATGTTCAGGACAGGGGAACATGGCCGTGCTATGTAAATTAACATTTGTTACCTGGTTGAAATAAAATTATGTATCTTGGAAACAGTTTTTGTAAAAGTAAATTTCTGTTTAAAAATCGTAGTTTGATTTAAAAACTCAAGTTAAGAACATACTTAATTATATATTGATAGTAAAATCACTTTTTAAATTTGACTTTCGAATTTTTACCGATACTCCAAATATTCTTATACTAATAAAGTTTTATTTTAATTATGAAATCCGCAGATAATGTGAAAGGATCTTTATACTTCATTTATGTGTATAAGTAAGTAAGTAAGTAATTTATTTATTTTAATGGGGATACGGACAAAAGCACCCTTCCATCTAAAAATGACAAGGTGGACAAAAGCCCCTCCCCCCCCATCAAAAAATACACGTAGGACAAAAGCCCCCCCCCCCAAGTTCATCAAACAATTGTTATTGAGAATCTCGTCAGTTTAAATCTGGAACTTGATGTATTTTAACAAATAAATGCAATTGTTTTAAAAGATAATTTACATTAAGATTTAAATTTAAAGGTACAAAAGTTCTTATTTGATTTATTGTGTAATTCGTACTTATAATTCATTGATGATATGAATGTTTTTATGTTTACTTTATTATATATTGTACAGTACAAATGTAAATGAATATTTTCAGAGAATCGCTTTTCAAAGCTTATCAAGAAAATAAAAGTGAAAGGCGCATACTTGTCTAGATTTATTTGAAGTATAACCCAAGTTCCCGATTACTGGGCGTGCAAAAATAGATAGTAATCTGTCTGGTCTATAAACCTTAGGGAGGCTTTTGTTTGATGGACTGGGGGGGGGGGCTTTTGTCCTATGTGTAAATTTAATGTGGGTCTTTTGTTTTACCCGCTTATTGTTGTTGTCACAAAAATTTGTGTAATTTATAAATATTTCTTAGCGCTTCTAAAACGTCTTTTATTATTATTATTTTTTTATTATTATTATTATTATTATTATTAATAATAATTATTATTATTATTATTATTATTATTGTTTTAATTACTATTTTTATTATTACTATTATTATTATCATCATCATCATCATCACCATCGTCGTTATCATCATCATCAACATCATTATCATCATTATATTATTATTATCACTATTATCATCATCATCATCACCATCATCATAAAGTATTATTATTATTATTATTTATTATTAATATTATTATTATTATAATTATTATCAAAAAAATAAATAACCGATTGAGCATTAGAATCAAAGTTTTGCCTATGAAAATGTATCAATGGTCATGTTATACATGTATGCACAGTTATCGTTTATGGATACATGATATTTCCAATTTAATACATGTAATATTGCATTATTTTGGATCGAATAAAGGTCTTAGTATGCTGCTTTCTTCCGCATTATCACCGACCTTAATATAAATCAGTGGCATTATTAATGCTACAAACGGTCAGAGACGTTAAAATACATGTATTTATATGTCTCTGAAACGGTATCTAGGCATATCACGCGTTTTCAAAACAGCCAATGAGTTTAAAGCGTTGGTTTTGTATCACGTGAATCCTATCAACCAATCAGAAATAGCGCGGGCGAAATGAAAAAAAGAAAAACCGGGATTGGAAATGGATAGTAAATAAAATTCAGAATATTGCAAAACAAGGTAGGTTAAAAGTTATTTTTTTATCGTTACAATATCACTATGCGATCAATAGAATAGTTGCATTTTGTAAACAAAAGCTTATTTCAGGGTTAAACTGATTTGTTTTTAGAAAACTTTAAACACTGTTTTAATCTGTTTCGCTATCCAATATGGCCGCCGGATTAGATAATTAAAGCAGGGATATATCCCTAAATTTAGACTGGGAGGTTACGAGTTTGGTTTTGATTTCTAAACTGTATCTTGTTTAATTGATAATTTGTATGAAAAATGCAAAAACAAAAAAAATGAAAAGGGCATTTGTTAAATGCGTTAATCATAACTTCCCTTCAGGGTAAAAAAGACACCGAGTTAAAAATAACGACATTTAAACACCGAAGACGTCAAGGTATTACAGCCCCTGGACATGGTAGTACAAAGGGATTAATCAGTGTGTGTGACACGACCTATGTATGCTTGATTGGTCAACTATATAATCTTGAGCTATCTCAATTATCACTTAACAGCAGGGGTGGGAATCAAATTATTTATTATGTGCAAGAAAGATCATATCGAAAAGAGACACTCAAATTCTATTTATTTTAATAGTAATTTATGAAATTGATAGCCGAAAAATAGGTTATGTTTTATCTATTCAATATAATAACAAAAATTATCAGATTTAACAGATTAACATATTTTAAAAGAAAATTGGTTAGTACTTCTAAAAAATAGGTTTATAAATTTTAAGATAAAATTGTTTCTCAGTCTTCATAATTTAACGAGCAGAATACTTGTTTTATGTTCGCATTTTTTATTTTTATACAAATTCCCATTATTTAATGCAAACATAAGTCAATTTAAAGACTCCGCTCTTTTCAATTTTATTTACTTTTTTTAAGTTTCTGTACACATGTTGTTATATTTCTTATGTATATTAACCTATTCTTAAATAATTACAAATCTTAAACAAAAATAGGAAACAAACATTTCTTTTTTTATTTAAATCATTATACATTTAGACGAATAAATAAAATGAAAATAATTGTCAGAATTTTTTATTTACATTAATACAAAGAATGTGTATGATTGCATGTAATATGGCCGACAGGTGTTAAGTTAAACGGTTAACTGTTAATTCACTTACCCTTGGTGTCAAAATATATGAGCCGCGTCACGCCAAAACCAACATAATGGGTTTGCGACCAGCATGGATCCAGACCAGCCTGCGCATCTGCGCAGTCTGATCAGGATCCACGCTGTTCGCTAACGGTTTCTCTACTTGTTATAGAGTTTGTAAGCGAACAGCATGGATCCTGATCAGACTACGCGGATGCGCAGGCTGGTCTGGATCCATGCTGGTCGCAAACCCATTATGCTGGTTTTGTCGTGACGCGGCTCATATGTTTATTTTTAGATTGATACGAAGCATAGATCAGGAGCCTGTTGTCGGTGTAAGAATTTTAAAACTCGTGAATATAAAATATCGCAACGAACCAGAAGTTTTAAAACGGTTTTGTTTGTATTGTTTTAGCATTAATAGTAATTAGCAAGATCGAGTTTACTCGCAATTCAGGACAGACAACTCTTGGTTTTCATTCGATATTTTTGGCTATTTATCTACGTTATTCAGGATTACCCAGATTTTAAATTGTATATACATGAACTGAGTTTTCGACATTTTCAATGGATTTTTATTGGACAAATGAAAATTTAAATATTTTTTTCTTATTATAATTAAAACTCTTTGTTTAGTTTTAAAAAATAAACATTACGCATAAGGTGATATCGCATAGGTCAGTCACAAACACGCGCCTGTTTGAGGAAACAGTTATTTAATATTTCATTATACATAAATTTAAACGCTTGAAAAACTGTATTGAGCCTTTGTACATCACACATTTTTCGACATTCCATATTTTGACTTATATTTCACATAAAGCAATATGGTAACACACCCACGCACGCACGCACGCACGAACACACAAAATACATAACTACACATGCACATAAAAGTGAACACGTTCCTACAGTATTAACACTTTCGCACATGTGATCACTTATGAAATATTTTCAATGTGCTCTTTATCATTTTATGCTGAAGTTATATTATGATTTTTCAGGACAGTTAAATCTTCTAGAAATGCAGCTGTGCCCTCTTTACAGCAATTGTAGATGAAGCAAAGTATGGTAGCAGGTTATATAGATGTAAGTTCACTTATATACATTGTTGTGTTTTGTGAATAAAATAAGACATTTACACGGACGTACTGTCGGTAAAGAAGAGTTACCCAGGCTCATATATTCCACTCTATACTGACATCATGTGTTTTATTCTTTCTCAAGGCAAAGTCAAATTTCCTTAATTACACGCATTTATTTTGACAAGAATAAATGTGGTTAGTTATAAATACATTGGTTCTCTTTTATATCTTGTTAGAATCATTTCTTAGGCGGAATGATGTCACACTTCATAAAATGATGTCAATTAAGGCATATATGATATAAGCATTTTGCCGCGCATTTAAAAATGCTAAACCATACTTGCTTTTAATATCAAATATATAAAATATAAGAATTAACTCGAACACACACAATGGTTTGATATAGATGCACTGTGCATGCGACTTTATTTTATTAAATTAGTTTTCTTTTCTTAAACATATTACTGTATCAAAAAATATGTATTTCTTTACAGTTTAATCACTTTTATATATGTTAATGATAGTATTTTTTTAATTACTACGTGCGTAAAGCGATAAGTACGCCGCTTTGATAATGTGAGAGTGACGTTACATTTTCTTTTGTACATGTGCACTAAAGTTAACAACATTTGTCTTAATAGGTAAAACAGGGTTTTCAAAGCGAATATAATGTCAGATAAGAAACAAAATTTGAAATGTCTTGATGGAAAAGTTAGAATGTCATACACATTAAATTTTATCACAAGTTCGAGCCTCTCAAGTTGTCTTACTTTTTTTGCGTTTTTCTTTCCATATATTTTTTTTTTAAATTTTACATTAGAAAAATGAATTGGGATAGAAAGGCAGTTTTGTTATGATATTTAATAATTTAGATATACATGCACGGATGATAGTGATTTTTATCCTGTATAGTGTGTAGTATGTAGCAGTCATAGTACTTTTGCAGTGCAATAGTATTTCGTGCAAACTTAACTATAGTTGAAATAGTCTGTGTACAGTATCATGCATTCCGTATAAGTTTGCACCAACTTTGTTGTGATAACTATTTCACGACACTATTTAAACATGATTTTGAACTCTCTTTTTCAGATACACACATGCTGAAGAAGATTGTAATATCTGGAGATAACATTTCCTACGTCACGAAATAGACACCGTCACACTGGTCTTCGTAACATTCCTATAGATGATTGATATATTTAAGTGCTTTTAAGAACTGTGTTTGAATGACGAATTTCTGTGAATACGGATTTTGAGTTTTAATGATTATTATTAAAACTTTCTGTAATAATAAATTTGTGCTATGGACTCATTTTCCTAAAATAATATGTGAATGTTAACACGAACAAATGATATTAATATCTTTAAAATATTTTATGGGTGTAATACAAGTGGCTCATAAAAATCATTGTTAAGATAAATAGAATCGAACTTCAAGTTGGTATAGTTTGTTCTACATTTAAACGACATGCAATTCATAAAGGTTACGGCTTGAAAATATCGAAACATGTACAATGTACATGTATAACTCGATCTCTAAAGAAAATATCTAAGTGCGGATTTTCTCTACTGTAATACGTATTTCATGATTCTGTTTCGCATCATACCGGTATATCGCCGTTCTGTTGCAACGCTACATTAATTTGTCCCTCAGGACTAAGGCTTGCAACAATATATGACTGTTGTAGCGAAGACATGTTTATTTTGTTTAATATATGTATACATATTGAATATATGTTTCTGAAGTAATAAATATTTAAGAGTGACTCGATTTGGTTTTTACTTTATTATTTGAAATAATCCAATTGTGAAGATAACGTTCTTAAGCATATGACTTTACAGTTCCCATTCAAAATGTGTAATAAAACATGTTTTATTGTACAAGTCTGCATTTTGGCCATGTATACGTGTCACTTATATGTAAATGCATGCTTTTGATATTATCTGTATCTTCTTTTATCAAGAAAATACAGTTCTGTATTCCCTGTTGACAACTAAAAAATGCAATTCTGTATATCCCCTGTATATATTGAAAATACGATTCCGTATATCCCCTGTATATGTAGAAAATACCATTCCGTATATCTTCTGTATATGTAGAAAATACGATTCCGTATATCATCTGTATATGTGGAAAAAACGAGTCCGTATATCCTCTGTATATGTAGAATATACGGTTCCGTATATCCTCTGTATACGTAGAAAATACGAGTCCGTATATCCTCTGTATATGTAGAAAATACGGTCCCGTATATCCTTGGTATATTTATAGTATACTAGGGATAGCAACCTTATTAAAGTCCGTATACGGGATTTTATTATCCGTATACTTTAAAAGTACGAACAAATATACGTACATGTATATGGGGCAAATACGGAATTCCGTATATGCCTGATGCATATACGGACTTCCCGTATACCCGGTGTTCCCTATACGGACTCGTATACTTGGTCCGTATATTCGACGAATACATCCCGTACACGCCCGTATATGTCAAAAATACGGGACCGTATATTCCCGTATATCAGTATATTTTTCGCAGTGAAAATACGAATACGAGTGGCGGTGTGGCTCAGTGGTTCACAATCGGCCTAGCAATCTAAGAGTTGATTCAAACCCCATCAGAGGCAAGCCGTTGTTTCCTTGGTTCAGAAATTTTACACTCACAGCTTAGTACTGGTCGATTGCAGGAACGGATTGAAAAGTGTTTCAATAAGCTAAAAGTTTCCAACACTATCGAACTAAAATAAGAGTGTATAAACTAAAATAATGTACGAGAACAAATTCACAAACACACCAACCAGTGTTCCTACACAAGATTCATATGAACCCGGTAAAAAGAGTACAAATAGAATATGCCCAATGACAGCACGAATTTAACAAACGGGTGTTTTTACACAAAATCCAAAATGGATTCGGTATCGTAGTTAAATAATTATACAACTGTAGGAACAAGTATAACAACCCACGTAATTAACATCTATTCTCATACAGTTGATCCGAGTCCCTCAACAGTAAAAATGACATCAACAGCAACAACCTCAATCAAAGCAGCAACAACCGAAACCACAACAGCAGCATCAATCCCAAAAACAGCAACAACAACAACTCAAAAACTGCCACATACAGCTCCGCCAGTAGCAGGTCTGTATTTTAAAAAAAATACTCTGCTTTACAATGCTACATTCTAATGTTAAAATGTATAAAGCTTTATATTCGTTGACTGTGGAGTGTTAGACTTTTGTTTATATTAACATGAAAATGAATAAGGAATACCTTGTTTATTTTCCTGAAAGCGATTTTATTCTATTAACACAACATGCATGTACCATCAATGAAGTAAATATTCTGTGTTATAAATCATAAAGAAACCACCATTGGGTTGGAAAAAAGAACATAATTCAAGGGGTTTTAATTTTGTTTAAAAAACAACATATATAGCTTTATACACTTAAACATGGATTACAAAATAAATTATTATGAAGCAATTTTTAACATTTAGCTTGGTAGTCGCTGCAACATCTTGTGACAAAGTAAATCTTTTCAGATACAAAAAAGTTTTGCAGTCTTCTTTTATCATTATTTTATTATTTCTTTAAAAATGAAATGCATTTTTTATTATAATACCCTGACAATAAGTTTCGCAAGGCAATTTTCCACGCCATGCAGAGCTATGTATGATCCGATTTTTTATTTATTTATGATTTGTTTGCGTGAGGGAATGGGGGTTCCGTCAAAATAACATAATAGGTCATGAGGCAACTTTCAAGCTTTACTGACGGAGGAAGACCACATGTGCCTCTCCAAGTAGTAACAGCCACCTATATTCGGTTAACTAGCTGAAGAGCTTTCTCACATGAAAGAAATCTAACACGCTGGCGCGGCTAGAACCTACAGCGATTGGAGGCAAATGCCTTGAACTCAATGACCTTAACCACTCGACCACAACGCCCTGACACGTAACTATTTAGATTTTGCACTCATTTCTGTTTCCATTCTTTTACAATGTAAACAGAATAATTTTGTTTTTGTTATTGATTCATACAAAACTAATGATAAATAAATAGGCAAACACATTTTCTGCATTTTTGTTTATTGCAATCTTTTATTGGTAAAATATAAATCTACAGTTTGTCTGAAAAACAGTGTCCAAAACAGCATATATACAAAATGTGTTTTATATATTATAAGAATTGTTGAAAAATTGTTATCAACTATATTGATAAAGGTATCTGTGTTTTCAATAAAACATCTTTAAAACCTTGAACATAATTCGTAAAATATTGGGGCTGGTAACAAGCTGTATTTTATCTATTCTTTAATGCATTGTTACATGTAACACCACTCCTTTTTGTTATTTATACGTAGTTATCAATGCAGTTAAGCTTTGAAGTTTTTATCTTAAATTTTAAACGGAGAACAGGGAAGTTTTAAATTACAGTTAAACTCAGGAAAGAAGTCAACATGATTTTCGTTTTTTATCTACTTGATTTTTTGTTTTGTTTTGTTGATGATGTTTTTGTTTGTTTGATTTCTATGTTTTTTTTCTATTTTTTCTTCTTTTTTTCTAGTTATTTGTAATGTTTGTGCTGGTCCCGAGTTCCTGTGTGACAAATTGTTTGCACCACAAACGTGTAGCCCTCCTAACAATTACTGCATTAACAAACTTACTAACCATAGAGATGGAACACGAATGGTAACAAGACAGTACGTATAATATGCATTGATATTTTACTTGAAAACTGATAACATTTTATCCAATATTAATAAGTGTTAGATTCATTCTACTCAATTTAGCCTCGTCTTCAATTTACAGACCAAACAAAAGTTCCGTATCAAATCCAAATTATACTGGATCTAGCCTCTCTTATCAAACCAATATATACCAAGTAAATACAGTACTTTGTCCAGCCACTTCGTTTTCATTTAACGAGGCCAAAAAGTACAGGTAAAATTTATATTGTGTTTAAACAATTGTAGTTTAAAGTCATTATGCATTGTTAAATACAGATGACTGCTGATGATACTGCTTAGCAATCAATTCTGATTATGACTAGCAGGCTGCAAAACAATCAAAATTAAACTCAGCTACCACCTCGTCCAATATACAGTATGTTTGAAAGTTGTGAATTCGTCCAGAAGAAAAAATTATTGTACTCAATTACCTAATGTTTGCATTATATTAGTGACAAAAATAGCGTTATAAAAAAGTATTTTAGTTCATAAATGCTTATAAAAAATGAGCGTATTGTAGACCTGTCCGTATTAAAGGCGCATAAAGTCTCAGACACAAACAAAATTTTCCTACAAATTCCATACAATATACTGAATCACTGTAACTGTACTAAGTGACCAGAATGAACGGGAGTATGTTTTGATGACTATAAACTTTGACCAAAATTTAAAAAAAAAACCTTTTGAAAAATAAGTATAAAACATGTTTTTGAGTAAACCTTAAAGCCTTTAAATGCTATTATTTTTATCATATTTTATTTTAGGTGTCTTATTACAATTTTTGAACAAGTATTTATTGACCATACAGCTGAAACATATTTTTACTCCTTTTGACATTTTGGCAATTAGTACAGTTATTCTGGCTTTATGAAATAACATTCCATATGTAGTACTATATATTTCTGGTGATAAGCATTAAACATGTTTTAAATCAATTATGAATCGTTATTTAATCCATTTTTGTCCCTACAAAGAACGAAAACAAATATTCATTTCTTTGTAACCATAAGCCTGAAAATTCAATAGTATTTTGTATATTTCATATATAACGATATATAACAGTGTTGCGGAAATTGTATTTGCTCCATGCCAAGACCATATTTTGTTTGTTTATTTGTTTGATTGGGTTTTACGTCTCACCGACACAGTATAGGTCATATGATCGCGTTCCAATTTTACTGGTGGAGGAAGACCTCCGAACGGGCACCTGGATAGAACCATCGACGTTCTGAAAGCTAGCTGGATAGCTTTCTCATATGAAAGAATCGAAAGTGCCTGTCGGAATTCGCACCCACAGCGGTTAGGGGCAAAAGGAAAAAAAACTTTACTACCCGGCCACGGACGCCCTGCCAATACCATATAACAAAGCCAATACTTGTAAAGAATTAATCACCAATCTTTGAATATCAAACATGTTTGCATTTGAGACTCAGCAATGACTATTATTTGTTTTAAATATGCATTTCAGCTGCGGCAACTTTGACACCTGCTATCGAGATTGGTTCGAAGGAAGCTCTGACAGCGACAAATGCCGTAATTTTAATGACAACAACATCATTACCTTGGACTTTGATTGTACATTTTGCTGCACTACAGACAACTGCAATAAACCGATTAAACCGTTGGACAAAGACCTATACAAGGGATATAATAAATATAACAAAGAATGTACCGATTAGCTTCTTGTTGACAAAAAACATTACGTTTTATAAACACAAAATAATTATGGGTTGTTTTTCTTAATATAATATCATTAGAATCTCCTTCACTTGGGACCAAATGACAGCCTTAACCACAAATACGAAATACGAGTGGCGGCGTGGCCGAATGGTTCACAATCGGCCTAACAATCTAAGAATTGCTGTCTGAGTTGGTTCGAACCCCATCAGAGGCAAGCCGTTGTTTCCTTGGTTCAGATATTGTACACTCATAGCTTAGTACTGATCGATTGCAGGAACAAATTAAAGACTTTTTCAGTAAGCTTAAACCATCCAACACTATCGAACTAAATTAAGAGTGTATGAACTAAAATAAAGTACGGGTACAAATTAACAAAGAAATCAACCAGTGTTTCTACACAAAATTCATATGAACTCGATCAAAAGAGTACAAATAGAGTATGCCCAATGACAGCACCAAATAAACAAACGGGCGTTTTATACAAAATCCAAAATGGATTGGGTATCGCAGTTAAATATACAACTGTAGGAACAAGTAAAGCAACCCACGTAATTAACACCTATTTTTATACAGATGCCCCAGCAGTAACAATGACATCAACAGCAACAACCTCAATCAAAGCAGCAACAACCGAAACCACAACAGCAACAACAACATCAACCATAGCGGCAACAACCGAAACCACAACAGCAGCATCAATCCCAAATACAGCAACAACAACAACAACTAAAAAACTGCCACATACAGCTCCGCCAGTAGCAGGTCTGTATTTAAAAAATTACTCTGCTTCACAATACTACATTCTAATGTTAAAATGTATAAAGCTGTATATTCGTTGACTGTGGATTGTTAGACTTTTGTTTATATTAACATGAAAATGAATAAGGAATACCTTGTTTATTTCCCTGAAAGCGATTTTATTCTATTTGACACACCATTGGGTTGAAAAAAGAACATTATTCAACGGGTTTATTAATTTTGTATAAAAAACAACATATATAGCTTTAAACACTTAAACATGGATTACAAAATAAATTATCATGAAGCGATTTTTAACATTTAGCTTGGTAGTCGCTGCAACATCTTGTGACAAAGTAAATCTTTTCAGATACAAAAAAGTTTTGCAGTCATCTTTTATCATTATTTTATTATTTCTTTAAAAATGAATTGTATTTTTAATGATAATACCCTGACAATAGTTTCGCAAGTCAATTTTCCACGACATGCAGAGCTATATATTAATGATCCGATTTTTTATTTATTTATGATTTTTTTCGTGGGGGAAAGGGGGTTCCGTTACAATAACATTATAGGTCATAAGGCAACTTTCAAGCTTTACTGACGGAGGAAGACCTCAGGTGCCTGAGCCACCTATATTCGCTAAACTAGCTGGAGAGCTTTCACACATGAAAGAAATCTAACACGCTGGCTCGGCTAGAACCTACAGCGAGCCTTGAACTTAATGACCTTAACCACTCGACCACGGACGCCCTGACACGTAGCTATTTAGATTTTGCACTCATTTCTGTCTCCATTCTTTTAAAATGTAAATAGAATATTTTTGTTTTTGTTGATTCATACAAAACTAATGATAAATAAATAGGCAAACACATTCTCTGCATTTTTGTTTATTGCATTTTTTTTTGTATAATATATAAATCTACATTCTGTCTGTGTCCAACACAGCATATATACAAAATGTGTTTTATATATTATAAGAATTGTACAAAATTGTTAACATCTATATTGATAAAGGTATCTGTATTTTCCATGAAACATCTTTAAAACCTTGAACATAATCCATATAATATAGGGGACTGGTTACAAGCTGTATTTTTTCTATTCTTAAATGCATTGTTATATATAACACCACTCCTTTTTGTTATTTATACTTAAGCTTTTAAGTTTTTATCTTAAATTTGATAAGGGGAACATGGAAATGTTAAATTACAGTTAAACTCAGGAAAGAAGTCAACATGATTTTCGTTTTTTATCTACTTGATTTTTTGTTTTGTTTTGGTGATGATGTTTTTGTTTGTTTGATTTTTTGTTTGTTTGTTGTTGTTTTTTTTCTATTTAATTTTTTTTCTAGTTACTTGTAATGTTTGTGCTGGTCCCGATTTCCTGTGTGAAAATTTGTTTGCACCACAAACGTGTAACCCTCCTAACAATTACTGCATTAACAAACTTACCAACCATATAGATGGATCACGAATGGTAACAAGACAGTACGTATAATGTGTTTTGATATTTTACTTGAAAACTGATAACATTTTATCCAATATTAATTAGTGTTAGATTCAATCTACTCAATTTAGCCTCGTCATCAAAGTTCCGTAAACAAAACCAAAAATTTTTATGGATCTAGCCTCTCTTATTAAAAACCAAAAAATTTAAAAAATAAATACAGGTTACTTTTTTCCCAAACCCCTTTTTTTTCAATTTAAACCCAGGCCCCAAAAAATCAGGTAAAAATTTATAAATTTTGTTTTAAAAAAATTGTGTTTAAAAATCATTATGCATTTTTTAAATACAGTACTGCTGATAACTGCTTTTGCAAAACCCTTTTGATTATGACTAGCCGGGCTGAAAAAAATCAAAAATTTAAAATCAGGTTTAACCTCGCCAATAACTTTTTAAAATTTGGGGAAATTCCCTCCAGAAAAAATAGATTATTGATCAAATTAAATGTGTTTTCATTTTTAAAATTTGTGACAAAAAAGGGTTTAAAAACAAGGGGGGGATTTTTTTCATTAAAAATTAAAATGCTTATGAAAAATGAGCGTATTGTAGACGTGTCCATATTAAAGGCACATACTGTCTTAGACACGAACAAAGTTTTCCTACAAATTCCATACAATATACTAAATCACTGTAACTGTACTTAGTGACCAGGAGGAACGGGAGGAAATTTTGATGACTATAAACTTTGACCAAAATTTGAAAAAACTTCTGAAAAATAAGTATAAAACATTTTTTGGAGTATAGCACGCCTTAAAGCCTGTAAATGCTATTATTTTTATCATATTTTATTTAAAGTGTCTTATTACAATTTTTAAACAACTATTCATTGATCATACAGCAGAAACATCTTTTACTCCTTTTAGTTTGTTAGACAATAAGCACAGTTTTACTGGCTTTATGAAATATCATTCCATATTAAGTACAACATATGTCCAGTGATAAGCATTAAACATGTTTTAAATCAATTATGAATCGTTATTAAATCCATTTTCGTTATTAAATCCATTTTTGTCCCTACAAAGAACGAAAAAAATATCATTCCTTTGGTACCAAAACCCTGAAAATTCAACAGTATTTTGTATATTTCATATATAAAAATATATTACATTGTTCCGAAAATTGTATTGCTCTATGCCAAGACTATATTTTGTTTGTTTGTTTGTTTGTTTGACTTGGTTTTACGTCACATCGTCACACCGACGTTCCGAAAGCTAGCTGGATAGCTTCCTCACATGAAAGAATCGAAAGTCCTTGTCGGAATTCGCACCCACAGCTGTGAGGGGCAAAAGGCAAAAAACTTTACCACCCGGCGACGGACGCACCGCCAATACCATATAACAAAGCCAATAATTGTAAGAAATAATCACCATTCTTTTAATATTAATCATGTTTGCATGTTTGCATATGAGACTCAGCAATGACGATAACTTGCTTTAAATATGCATTTCAGCTGCGGCAACTTTGACACCTGCTATCGGGATTGGTTCTTAGGAAGCTCTGACCGCAACAAATGCCGTAACTTTTGGGAGAGCGACATTATCACCTTGGACTATGATTGTACATATTGCTGTACTTCAGACAACTGCAATATACCGATCAGACCGTTAGACAAAGACCTATACATGGATATATAATAAATATACAAAGATGTACCGATTAATTATTGTTTTGTTATATATTTATCGAACATGAATCGAAAATGATGTGAGAAATACGTGTAATCTACTCTAGATTTGCAAATAATTCGATATTGACCTCAAAACAAATAACTCAGGTCATATAAAATTAAATGAGAGAGTTACTTAGTAAATTAATATAGAATGCAACCTTGACAATGGCTAGCGCGGCGATTTCTTGTACAAAAACTCTTTGTATTTTTGTATATGTGTATCTAGAGTTTTTTTTTGTATATGTGTATTTCTACGAAAGCAAGTAAGGTTTTTATACGTGCAAAAATTTAGCGACCAACAAAACATATGCAATGTGAGTTTTGCAGCATTGTACTTCATGTACATTAAATTGACGTAAAGAAAAACTTCAAATATATTGCATGGGAAAAGCTGATGTGGAAACATCGTTTTAAATAAAATTACAGAAGAATTGCCGCGAGGGCTAGAACGAATCAATGGAATATCTTCGACGTTGTTTCTTGCGCGAGCGCAATATGTCTTATATTACCGTAAAAGTGAGCGTAAATAGTATTGCATGGACGGAGTCGCAGTAATATCAGCTAAATGAGTACATGACAGTTGGGTCTTAAAGTGTGTGTATATTTACGTTACAACAAAGAGTTTATATACATACTAGAGCTCACAACATATGAGCATTTTGCGCAAACATTTTCGACGTTGTTTCTTTTAAGAGTACCATGAAACCTTATTTTTCGTAGATCCTGCAGGGTGTTCTTCTACCAAAAGATTTTATTGCGTTTATACCCTAAAACGAAATCATCTTGTAGGCTAAAATGCATATACCATGCGAACATTTTAAAGTCATGTACCGTATCTTGGGCAAAGGTCACCATATCGCTGTAGACTCCAATCTATTGACGAGTTGCTTCTTCTCGAAGGGCATTGGAGAACAAACGCTGCAGTCAAGTCCGTTACCAGGCGAACATCTCGAATCAATGTTTAAAGCAAGCAACAAGTACATTTTGCAGGAATAATGAATCTCTAAGGTATTGCACTTCCAAATCTGAAACTAAATCAGAACAAAAATGAAGCCGATTATGGCACTTAACTTAAATTAGATTTTTAATACAACTGTGTTAGGTTTTCTGTATTTTTTTTTGGGGGGGGGGGGGGGGGGTAATTATAATTATTATAGATTTCACGTAGTAATCTGGCGGTCAGATTTGTTATGCCATAAAATAAAGTAAAACTTGAGTCTCCGAGGTATTGCACCTGTTCATTTGTAATGAAAAAAAAACAATATATAATTCACTGTAGGTTTCTAAAAATAGTGCTTTTGGTTTGATTTCGAAATAAGACACTGTAAAAGCAAAATGTTCTCAATGGCAAAATGCCTTTAACGGCTTGCAAAGTGGGGACACCTACAACATTGCAATAAAACATAAGGATTTCTGAATGTCCGATAATCGTTTTTTTTATCTTGGACCGGCATTTAAAGAGTTCCAATGTTCTCAGCGCCCGGTTTTCTCAACTTTCACTGTATAATGTGTGTTAACAAAGTCGCCGAATTTTTGATTATGTTTTTTATGTAATATAAATATAGCTAAAACATCTTTTATTTTATATAGAAAAGAAACAAAATACACTCGGGGTAAAAAGGAAAGAAAGCAGGGAATCATTGATTGAATTCTTGACCTTGACGTATTTTGAAAATCATCACATCGAAAAAAGAAATACCACGTGGTAAATATAATAAATGAATTTAAAGGGTATTATAGAACAATTAAAAGCCCAAAATAATCATGTTTCAATTGCTGCTCTTAACCTATAACATTAAAATCTGGAAAAAAGGTGATCGCTCGGAAGTCATAACAAAATTACATGAAAATTACAGATTCGGTCTGCACACGAGGGATAATTTAAAATGCAACATCCCTAAGGCCCCCTTGCACCTTTTCCGCTACTCAAAATAACTTAAATGTTTCATGTAAACTGTACTGCAAAGTAATAGCATTCAACGAGTATGATGCTTGTTCTACGGAATTATTTTTCTGTTATACACCTCGGTCAAATAAAAAGTAATTATGCCTGATGAGTTATTATTCATTTTTGTTGGACAACTGACGTCATCTTGAATATTATCTATCGAAAAGTCCGCTGATATGTTTTTAATTAAAACATAATAACGATTTAATTTAGGAAAAACGATAACAATTTTGAATGCATTGTTGTAGAATAGTGTTCGGTTTAAGTTCAAATACGCAGGAATATCATCACCGAAAAGATTTCAAATAATAAGTTCAGTTATTTCTAAACCAACGCCATTTACTTCGTCATTAACGTCGGGAACTCATTTTTCATTTTTCATTGTCAATATCTTCCACAATAACAACTCCAACTCCGAAACCGGCGCAAAAACCACATTTTGCATTGCTAACAACTTCTACAATAACGCGATATACTTTGTAATCAACGTCAAGATCTTGTTTTACATTATCAACAACGTCTACAATAACGCGATATACTCCGTAACCGTCGCCAAGATCTTATTGTACATTGTCAACAACGTCTACAATAACGCGATATACTCCGTAACCGTCGCCAAGATCTTATTGTGCATTGTCAACAACGTCTACAATAACGCGATATACTTCGTAAACAACGTCAAGATCTCATTTCACATTGTTACCAACTTCTATATCTGCCATCAAAAACAAAAGCTCTTGAAATACTGTCAACAACTATTTCAACAAACGTTACGACTCCTCCATTAACGGCAATTGTTTTGTTATACCGTGGAAACAACGTCTGCACTAACCATAGCTCTGACGATGATGTCATCAATTACGTCATTAACATCAACAACTTCTTAACTAAAGGTGATGTCCCCGTCATCGACAGAAGCAACTAAAAGTGTTCCCTTCCCGGAAGTAGATTGATACATTGTGTGCATAAGGGCAAAGTTAGCTACGTTACATGCATTTTATAAAAGTACCACATGATTCCATTATCGAGATTACTATTGATCTCAAATCGATTCATCGTATAAAAAACAAATTTTTTGTTTGGCCGGATTTATATACCCACCGGAACGGATTAAGGCAACAAATAATAAACAAAGCATTAATCATTTTAGTGGATTTATTTCGTGAAAAGACCGCATTTGGATGATCAGTATACGAAAAGAAAACGAGGCATGAAAATTCTTCTTTGAAGAATATGTTTCGTACTGTTGAAGACATGTTCCGCGTTTAAAATGAATAGTGCAAATAGTTAGGAACAAAAAATAAAAGAAATTTACAAGAATGAGAAATGGAATTTCGTCTTCAAATGTGCTTATGTTTGTCATTTTCGTATTTTGTGTTTACAATAACAGATTTCTACCAGAATGTTTATTATTTAGACAAAAGGAATCTAACTATCGGTTCATCTTATAATGTTGCTGCAAGGTAAAATATAAGATTATTTTTATCACACACCCATGCCGCTTTTGCGACTCTATAAAATCGGTATTGCACGGTTGTGCATTTATTTTGACGTGACGTCATTTGCTTTATATAAAACATAGCTTTAGAACGTGCTTTTTGTAACAGTTGTAGTGTAAGCATGTTAATTAAAAAAATCACCAATTGTCCTTTGTTAACGGCTCAAATTTGATTTCTGATATCTTAATACATGTATAAATATTATATTCGTGTAGATTCATTCAAAAAAAAATTTTTTTGCTCGCCTCTCATAATATACTTTTATCCTATTCGTTCAATAAATTTAGTATTGAACTTACATCCATTTTAACATTTTCTTTTTTAAAATGGCACATGAGTGTAATAAACTCAATAAATAATCAAAGCACAGAAGGCGCTGAATTTGTTTTGGTCTCAGAATGTCAGAAAGGTGAAGGTTGTGAGTTTATAAACCAATTTATTTTGTATAGTGCAACCAATGCTTTCCAGCGTTTTAATTGTAGTAAATTAGCTATAAGACTAATTGCAACACTGATATTCAATTAAATGTTTATTTGACTTAAACAATTTGAAAAAAATGAGTTGCCTTAACTGGGATTTGAACTCCAGATCTCTCGCTTCCTAAGAGAGCACGCAAACCCCTCGACCACGGTGAAGTTATAAGTTAACGGCCTAAAGAAAACCATATTATTCTAAATTAGGGTTTGTAACCCTTATTATTTCGACGCTAAATGACACAGATGTAAATAATCATGGAGCTACTTTAAGCATGTATATCTATAAAGAATAAAACAATATTAGAAATCTTCGACTATTCGGGAACTATTTTACTTGAAAATTAATGTGCCTGTCATTTGACCATCTTTACGCAGTGATCTCCGCTAAATTTTTCGGCGTTAGTGCACATATAAAGGGAAGTAACCGCTTCAAAAAAGCGGACTTCTTTCGGCATTTGCAATTAACAGCAACAGGGTCTGGAATTTCGCTACCATTATTTGTTTGGTCTGACGACCCAAACAAATAAAAACGATATTCCACTGTAATTGAAGCTAAATAGGCGTTACACTATAGGCGCGTCAGTGAAGAAAATGACTAATTTTAAATGTAACCGTTCTTATTTTGTTGTGTAATAAATGGAATATTATATGCATAGAGGTTCATTTCTAAATTCATGGAATTCACTGAAAAAGTTATGTATTGAACCTACACTCAGTCAATATAAAACCGTACGTTTGTCACGTAAATAATCAATCCTAAAAACGGTGATGTTAATATAAAATACATGTATATTACACAGCGACTACCAATTATTATTTTATATTATCTTCCGCTATTTCTTTCTGTGAAACACCCCCATCCCCTAACCCCCGCCTTTTATTCTCTAAGGGTTTTTGGACCTCAGTGTCGCTCATATAGTTCTGTAGTGATGCCCCTTTTTCTTGATACAAATGTTAATGTATTTAGTTTCATTTTAAATAACTGACCATAAAATACATATATTACTCTAAAATACTTTTTATATAATTTCATAGGATTAAACCTGTTACTGCACAAATGTGACGAACTGTTTCAATACATGTT